GAGCAGGGAGCCCGATGTGGGATTCGATCCCGGGACTCCAGGATCATGACCTGAGCCGAAGGCAGTCGCTTAACCAACTGAGCCACCCAGGCGCCCTAATGGAGGATTTCTATTCCCTTCTTCGGTTTGTCTCTATTTTCTAAATTTTCTGCCATGAATACAGTGCCTCTGAAATTGGACAAATGTCACGAGAGCAATAAAGCCAATCAAGAAGTGAAAAAGACCTTCACGTGGACAGCGTGCCCACCCCCTTCACCGGGAAGCTTCTCACCCTTGCACGATGCCACCGGTAAACCCCAAGTGCTCGGAGAAGGACTCCTGCAACAGAATGAGAGATAGGTCAGCATGGGGCAGGAAGAGGCCACCCAGCCCCACACCCCGGAGCCCCCACACCCCGGAGCCCCCACACTGGTGCTCAGCGATCCACAGTGGCTCTGAGGTGGCTCGGGGGCCAAATACGGACGCTGCACACTGCTTTTCCATCCGGTCGACGTCCCTTCCCTCAGGCTTCTCCAACCAAGAAAAGTCAGTCATGATAGACCACTGTTAACCACGAAATGAGTGCACGAGGACAGTGTGTATCTGAGACCATCCTTGGAGTGCCGGGATGGAATCCCAGGGACATCAAGGGATTTGCAGAGATCCCGAGACTTCACACAGAAAGTACTGACATACATGTGCAATTCAGAAGCAAGAATCCGGACTCTCATAGGGTATCGTGGCCCAAAAAAGTTCTGACCCAGAGACTTCATGACAAGGAAGGTTGCTCTCGATGCTCCAAACCAGGAACAGCCCCCCATGTCACTGAGTGGGAAAAGCTAGTGTGCCAAGCAGCAGAGACAGCAGGACCTTCTCAGGTAGGAAAAGTAACCCCAGAGAAGAGTCTTCGAATGCTTTCTGTGGCTATCTGAGGGCACACTTTCTGAAGCTTTCATTTCCATCATGTATTTTCCTACATTGTTTGGATTCTTTACAATGAACACTAATAAACAGAAAATCAATAGTGAAACAGTATATAGGCATTACCTATCTAAATTATTAAAAAGTATTTTTACAAAAAGCCATCATAGAGAGAGACGCCCTAGCTCTGCGTCAGGGCTCTGTACAGACAGATGTCTCTGGGAGAAGCGAGGGCCTGCTGTCCCTGGCGATGCTCACCTCGATGTGCTGGAACATGTACGGATGGTTGCAGATCTTCCGCAGCTGCATGATGGTGTTCATCAGGGTCTTGGTGCCACCTTTGCCCTGGGGAGGCAGAACAGAGGCTCTGTACTGGGTCTTGCTCCCAGGGCGGGGTTGGGGGTGGGGTGGGAGGACTACAGAAGGGGACACTTCAGGGCAGGTTTGGCCTGTGGCAGAGTAATTGGGAGTGAGGGGCTAGCTCCTGTGGAGGCACAGAGGGCTCGAAGCCAACTCTGGGGGAGCAGAGACGGCCTGGCACGCGGGAGGGGCTGGCTGGAAGGGGCTGCAGGACAGAAGTGAAGGAAGACTGGTAAACGGCTGAGGCTGAAGGACTAACATTTGCCTTGGCTGTGGGCATTGTGGGGAGTCCCTGTGGGGCTGCAGCCAGATGGGCCATGACAACTTAGGAAGATTTCTGGCTACAGAGAGAAGGAAGAACGTGGGGGTGGGTGCTGGCTGCGGGCCGAGAAGCAATCCAGGAAACACGCTGCGGCACCTGCTCAGGTAAGAAAGGGCCCAAGGAACACATGGAGACATGGGGAGGTGGGGCCAAGCCCGAGGCATGGGGTGGAGAATCAAGGTACCTGGGAGGACATTTCTGTCCTGATGAGGGGAGCTGGGGTGGGTGGGGTCTGGGACCTCAGAGTGGTCCCAGGAGATGGCAGCCTGCCCAGCCCTCATTCCATATCACCTCAGCCTCACTTAGTAATAAGGTGAAGGGGCTTAGTGGCCATGGCTGTTGAGTCAGCTTTTTCCCAGCTGGGAAGGTGAGGCTCCTGAGAACATTCTAACTCTGCTGGAGGTCCTGCTGGGCTCCGCCCTGTTGATGGATGCATCTGCAGGAGGCCAGCAATTCATAAGCCGAGGACACCAGACAGTGACAGACTGGGAGGGCCTTAGGGGACTCCCTGCAGATGGGCCATTAGCCCCTCAACTGTCAGCCTTACTGGACGAGGCTGTTCCCATCAGCTATGATTTAACAATAGCTGTGATGCCCTTGTGATCATCACAGGTCAGGCCTTGACCTCCCCAGTAAACTCCAAGGAGGCGGAAGGCCCTGATGATGACAGGGTGCTTGAACCCCCCCCCCCACCGGCCTTGGGCATCCAGACGGGGAAGGGGAGGGGCCCGTGGCGAACCTTCTTGTCCTTCTCGGAGCCGTCGGTGAGCAGCACCCCCTTGGCCTGCATGTGCCGGTAGAGCACGCGCTGTAGGGCGGACATGTCACACTTGATGACGTATTCCACCTGCAGGGGACACGCATCACCAGTCAGAGCAGAGACTCCCTGAGCCGAACGCCCAGCCCGGGGCCATCTCCGGTCTCAGCCTCTCAGAGGTACCCTGGATCCCAGGATGTGTGTGTGCTCAGAAGAGGGCACAAGGGGATGATGGTGAGGAGCCCCCACAGTCAGGGAACAAGGGGAGGCGGGCTATGGTAGGTGCAGTGGGACAGAGAAACGTAGAAGGGACGTCCTGGGCCTGAAGGGGCGACTTGGCTACCTTCCCCAAGCTCCTCTACAGCCCAATGGGAACTAAAGGGCAAGTACTGCGTGCCCGACGGGGGGAGGGGAGGGCGTCCTGGGGGGGCAGCCGGGGGGCTGGGTTCCCGAGCGAGAAGCCAGAGCCATCCTATGGTGTGAGCGGGCGCCCGGGCAGCCCAGAGTCACTAAGCGCTGCCGGATGTGGTCGGACGGGACCCGCCCACAGGCATCGGGCCCACAGACAAGAGAGGGGTTTCCCTGCTCGAAGCCGCACCTGCCTCCACGTGACAGAGCCAGCGCGTGTGAGTGGCCATCCTCACATCACAGGGACACGACAAAGCTGAAGACCAGGGCCACGAGAGAATACAGCATGGACCACTGGAGTGCCACTGGACCGGGCCCACCCCGGGAAAGCCCCCAGCATGACACCACACCTCAGCTTCATCCACTCCAAACAATCCATTACCTTCTCAGGCAACTGGGCTTCGACTTCCTTCTTGAGCCGCCGGAGCAGAAAGGGCCGCAGCACTTTGTGGAGACGACGAATGATGAGAATCGTCTCCTCCTCGTTCAGGTCCACCTGGCACCCCCATGAGACAAGTAAACCAAGGTTACCTCCAAAGGAAGGAGCTGGGGATGTGGAGAAGGGTACGCAGGGTCATCTAGAGTTGCCTTGTCCTCAGCGCCTCCATGTCAGACTGCCTTACGCTTTATGGGGCTTGGTGGGGCACCCTCTTCCTTTAGACAACTGCAGGGACCTGGGACCTTCCACGGAATTCTTAGGGTATAGAACCCAAGGCTCCAGGGAACCCCGCCCCGGAGGCCTCATGAAAAGAAACACACAGGCTACTTGGTTCTTTCCCCAAGAGAAATATAAACGCATGTCTGGAAACCTGCCAACACATCCAAACGATAGGTGGAGAAACACCACGTTTATAGAACCGCTGGGTGTGAAATGGGTGGTCTTCGTGGGGGGCTGTCACTGGGAGCCCCAAATCCTCTCCTTTCAGCCTGGCAGGGACAGAGCGAAAGAAACTCTGCTCTCCCAAGGTGTCTGATTCTCTGCTAAGAAGTTAAACTTTTAAAAATTAAAAAAGAGTCAAACAGACCACACTTAAACTTATCTTCTCTGGGTCCCCCGATCATCTCTCAGTAGAGTTTTAGAACTTTTGCTAAACTTGAAAATAAACAAAATAAGAACATTTGCTTAGGATGAGGATCCTGGAAGTCTGAAGACTGGGCGCTCCCCTTTGGAGACTCTTGGAAAAGGCACAGTTTCTCCTTCAGATGGGTTTCTGTCTCCACGGTGCCAAGGAGAACGTACCTCGCCGATGACACTAAGGTGGCCTCAGCTGGCCTGGACCTGCCTACAGAGGACCTTACAGTCAGGAACTAGCTGCAGGGGCCGGAGAGAGCGGTGGCCCAGCCACCGTAGGCAGTGACACTCCTCATCAACCCCCAATCTCTGCAACTGTGCCCAGTTCCTCAGTCACCAGGCTCCAGCCTCTCAGCCTCCTTCAACAGAAAACACGACCTGCCCACAAACCCCCTCAAAGCCAAACAGCACAGGGGGCTCACAATGGGATCCAGCTTGGGGACTTCATCAAGCAGATAAAGACCTGCCCCCCAACGGCCAACGTGCCATAGTCTGGTTTTCAGGCTGACGATGCCACCCACGGCCATACAGACATCGAGAGACACTGGTCACAGCACTCTTTAAAAACAAAATATACAGAATCTGACCATGTTGATCCTTTGACTGAAACTTTCTGAGCCTCCTGCTGCCCTTAGGGTGAAATGTGAACTCTCTAGAGGGACCCACAGGACCCTGGGGACCTCCAGCTGTGCCCTGCCAGCCCCACAGCTACCTCAGAGCCAAATTCCTTGCCGTGCCCTCCCTGTGCCTGAGGCACTGGGTCAGGGAAGCCCCAAGAGACTCCCCAGAGTTCGCTCTCGATCTCTGCCCATCAGTCTCGGTGAGGCGGCCTTGCTCCGTGAAGACATGGCCTGCAGCCCCGGGCACTCAGTATACACCTGAAAGCAGCCAGCTGAGCCTGGCCCTGACCACTTGGGACCAGTTCCTCTACGGAAGGCCCGCACCCACGGCTCCCCTCCCTGGCCTACCGCCGGCATGCAGCCAGCCACGCGCACACACCTTTTCTCCGGTCATGGCAAAGGGTGCGTTGAACCACTGCTCGAAGGTGCTGCAGCTCTTGAAGATGGTGGGCAGCAGGAAGTTGAGGAGCGCCCAGAGCTCGGGAAGCTTGTTCTGCAGCGGCGTGCCTGTCAGCAGCAGGCGGCGTGGGGCCACGTAGTGAGTGTTGAGGACCTGTGTCAGCTTGCAGTGGTGGTTCTTCATTCGGTGGCCTTCGTCAACGATCATGTACTTCCAACGGATCTGTGGGCCCAAGAGCAAGCCGTCAGGGGAGGGGCAGCAGCGGGGATGCCCCCACCTTAGCTAGAATCTCCCCACCGTTAGGCGAGTCTACAGATGGAACAGCACATTCAGGTGAAGAACCTGAGCGTGACAAGGTCCGCTGACAAAAGGGACCGGCTCACCATGTGAGAGCCACACAACACCGCCCCTGTGAAGCATGGCGTGCAGACAGACACACAGGAGACACGCCCTTGACCTACTGTCGGGTGAACAATGCAAGCTGCACAACAGTACTCTGGTTTCCCCCCAAATTACATGTTTGTCTGTAGCCCAGAAAAATCCTCCAAATAACACCCCCCTCACTGATTAGAGAGGGGCCTGGGTGGGGGGTCTACAGGGAATGTGGCTCAGAAGCGGGTACATTTTCCAAGCATCAGGCTGTGCCTCTAAAAATAGGAGTGGCAACAGGTAAGTTTGGATTGTGAACCCTGAGGGGCTGGGGCTGTGCCCAGGACCAACAGACACAGGCTAGATGTGGATCCTCACGGTGAGCATGAGTATGCAGGCAGGAGCCCCAGGTCTGAATCGTGGTTTTAAGTCTGCAGAACCCCATGATGAGCCTCAGAACTGCTCTGTGCCTCAGCTTCCACTGCCTGCAGGCACAATGAGGCCTGGGTGAGGCGGTGCATGTCAGGTGCCCAGAGTGAAAAGGGCAAGACAGCATCTCCCGTGAGGAGTCCCTGTCGCTTGGCCTTGACATTCATTAATGACGCTGTCAGAAAAGGATTTTCAGAGCCTCGTTCCTGGGCCTGGGATGGGCCAGGCTTTGCCCTACATCAGAGGGGTGTACCTGCACCACAAGTTGAGGGGAAGAGCCTGCTCACTAGACCCCAGATCCCTGGGCCTCTGTTCCCTTATCTGTAAGCTTGGAAATGGATATGAAGCACCCCAAATCATCACAATGACCAAGCCCCTAGAGGTGACTTGTGAACACATCCAGCCCTGGGTCAAAAAACGACCACTCGACCTTTACTCTACCAGATGGTTAATGGTCAGAACAGATGCATCATCTTCAGCCTTCAAACCAGGAAAATGGCCTTTTTGCAGGCAAGGAACTATGCCTATTTTATATCTGGGTCAAGGCATGGTCTCAATGATTCACTGATGGTCTGACGTCACAACTCTGCCAGTTAAGAGGCTCCTAGGCCTGCATAAGCCCCACCAAACGTGTGCCAGCCCAGGAGCCCACAGCCAACAGAACACCAAGGGCCTCAGAGTCTCAGCCCTGAATGCTGAAATCCTACCTGCTTGGCGGGCTGGTGTCCTGAGCACTGTGGTGGGGGAGGACAGCTAGCAAGGGTGGAGGGCCAAGGCCTCTAGAGGCAGAGACAGGCCGGCCTCACCATAGCCCTGCCAGGCACGACAAAGGTAGGGCTGGCGGGCTGGGAGACACCGAACGTAACGAAGCTCTTGGGGCAGAAGCTCTGAGGAGCTGGTCTCCGTGACATACATAGGATAACCCTGGATCACATGTTCACCGACACCACGTGGCCACAGGGGGCTCGGTGTGTTTTACACAAGGACATGCTACCTTTGCAAGGATGTGCTTGTCCTTAATGATGTACTCATAAGTCGTCAGCAAGACGTTGAACTTGCCACTCCGGAGCTGGGGGACGAAAGCACGCCTGGCTGCTGGAGAACCCTGTGTGGGAGAGAAGCATGCACGACTCAAGCCTCCTGGGGCCACGGGGGCGGCCGTGGCGAGGTCTCCCCCGCTGACATGCAGAGCGCCAACTGCAGGGAAGGGGAGAAAGGCATGCGGGCCATGGGCAGCCCGGGGGCTCTGGGCAGCTTGCTGTCCACACTACATCTGTCCCAGTGTCCGTGGCCAATCAGCTCCCTCCTCTTCCCAGGGCTCCTCTTCGGCCTCCTGGCTGGAAACCAGGCCGCTGCCTCAAGGCTTCCCATGTGAGTGTGGCCCAGCTGACCACTCCCTGATGTAGCTCCAGCTTCTCCCCAATTTAGCAAACCTGCCCCGTCCCTCCCCAGTTCCAAACTCCTGACCCATGTGACCAGGGCCCCAGGGTATAAACATGGTGCTTTCTCTAGGCTCACATTCTAGGCTGACTGAACTTCAGTGGGTCCCATAAGCTCTTGCTGGCAGAACTATTCTTAGCTCCTTAACTGCACCAAGTTCTCCCTGCACACACTGTTCCTGGTGTTGGGACCCCCTCCTCCCCACCATGTGGCAGAGAGCCACACAACACAGGGCAAAAAGCCTGGACCCAAGAGCCTGGCAGGCAGGGACACAACCTGGCTGCATGAGGGCTGCCCTCTCTGCCTCAGTTTCCCCACTAAGATAATAGGCACAATTAGTCTCTACCTCATGGGGTGAATCGAGCTAGGCAGGGCCCCCAAGTACCATGTCCTAGAGATCACGGGTATACTCGTTAAGGCATCCTACATGAATGGGTTTTAATCAAAGCTCAGGTGACAATAACAAAACCTTCCAGGGAAAGCAATGATGTCACCAGATTCCACGAATTGACTGCACAGCATCATTTACAAACGCATTACTCGGAAATAAATAAATGATCCAAACCCTGCATGACCAGCACGATCCCATGAGTACAACATAGGAAAACGGGTGCATATGCATCACACCACTCATGCAAGCGGACTTCCCTCTTCGCTCATCTGTATTTCCCACTCCTACCCTGCCCTCATGTACGTCCATCCCTTCAGGCTGTGACCTACCTTGTAGGACACCTTCACCACAGAGGGGGCCCACTTGTCAAATTCGTATGCCCAGTTTGACAGCGTGCTGACGGAAACAAGGAAGGGACAGTCAGGTTCTAATTCATTCATCAACAGCTCCTGTCTACGACAACGTCCCCTGGGGCATGAGGCCGACGTGGCTGTGATGCTCAGAGCTGGTCAAGTAACCGACAGTCTTGGGGGAGGGAGGGGGTCATGTCCTGGGTGAGAGGAGCAGGGACACAGAGATGTGGCAGCAGGTACAGGGGCAGCTGCCGCTAGGGTGGCAGGAACCAGGCGGCTGCAGAAGGCCAGATCCAGGAGCTGAACCTGGGAGACCAGTCCTGTCACTGCTGTGGGGTCCCAAGCCCCTCTGAGAACACGCCATGCATTGCAAGTCTGCTGCTGGGAAACCCGCACACTCACAGTGCCTCATTTTAGGCTCAGAGCTGTGGTGGAGGGTAGGCTGGGGAGATCAGGGAGCACAGGAGACACCGCAGGTTCTCTGTGCCACCGTGAAATGAAAACGGCCAGCCACCGCAGGCTCCTGCCCGGTAAGAGACAATGGAGATGGGGAGGACACACTGGCTCGGGCAGAGGGCTGGAAGACTGGGTTCAGGGCAGGAGCATGGACTCTCATCTGCTCCTCCGTGGGACAAGCAAGGCCAGGAAGAGCAGGGAAAGAGAGAAATGGGCAGGCGTGCGGGCAGGTGGAAGGCAGATGAGAAGAAATAATTCACCTGGGACAAGAGACAGAACCTTGGGTGAGGGTGACAACAACAATAAGGCCAACTTCCCAGGGAGTGAGTTCCCTGAGAAATACTGGGATAGTCACTTTTTGGTAAGAAAGGGAACTTACTCAAAAGGTCTAGCCTGGGTAGTTTGTAAAGACAAGACTCAAAGGCCGAGTGGCAGAAATTGCTTGTGGCTCACCCAGCTCCCTCTGCGAGAAGTTCCACTGTAAGCCCCTAGCTCCCAGGCTCTTCAGCAGTCGGGCCAACCAGCTGGACATAGTTGGAGTAATGAGATGAAGCTCATGTTGCTGGGGTGAAAGTGGGGGAAAGCTCTCAAAGAAGGGTGGAGAGAGGGGAGAATCAGCTGCTCTTTACCCTGTCCACCAACCTGGGAACCTAGATGAAATGATGGAGGCAGTGCAGCCATCTTGCAACCATGAGGTAAGAAGGTTAAGGGCAAAAGTCATACATTAAGGGTGACTGAGCAGAGAAAACTCTAGAAGCCTGGGTCCTGGCATCTTGGAGCCACTGGCCCTGCCTCAGATGAGGCATTACTGAGGGTCAGCAAGACTGCCCTGGTACAGTCACTGAAGTCTGGATTCTACTGTATGGAGCAATGGCAGACAGGGCACCAAGAAAGAAGATGAGGGCCAAAACATGAAGTGTGGGGAACATCTGTAGTAGGAGGAGAGAAGAGCCAAGAGAGTTAGGGGCAGGGAAGACTGAGGAGCTAGGGTGGGAGACAGAGTCTAGTGGGAGGCAGGACAAGCAAACTCATGGTGGACAGTTGTTCATCTCAACAGATGGATGGGACAGCTGGATGGCTGACGTCTAAAACTGCTCCCTCGGGCAAAAGGAGCTCTTCTGGCCTGGAGATATCATTCGATGGACCAGATCCTTGTCTGGGTGGAACATGGTGTAAAAAAGCCTGAAGATCAACACACTGAAGCTGATTTAAATAACCTTTGGAAAAGGTATTTTAATTGGAAAGACAAAAAGAACTGGATCTAAACACTGTACTCCAATTGGTAAAGTTGTTTCTCATGGATTAACTATTTGGAAAGTGCTATACAAGTAAGAAGAAAGAGCTAGAAAGAACTCTATGGGTCTAGCTGAGTTAGAGACAGCTGTTGGCCATGACTAGACACAGATAACGTTACATAAACACATACATTTATTTCCTAATGCTGTCCACTGACAGGGCCTGCCAGTAAGGACGATCAGAAGCAAGGGGGCACCCCTAGCACCCAGTTCTTGGTTTCTAATACTGTTCTCTAAGAACAGAGACTACAGCCTCTTAGAGAAATGGCTGATTCTAGGCCTCAGACAGGAAATGTACAAGTGGAGCTGGGGGCATCTCTGGGTGCCCAAATACAACTAAGTGTCTCAAAACCCCACAACAATGGGGCCATGTCAAAGGGACAGAGTAGCCAACTAAAAGCTCCCCATGGCTAACGCTGGAATGATTCGAGAACAAGATAAACTAGTATTGGTGTACAGACCAAAGTATAAAATAGTACCCATGAGTCTACACTGATATAAATGATTAAATAAATTAACAAATGGGAAGAAGAGATATATCTTCTGCACAGAATAATTCTAAAGGATTTATAGAGCTATTTGCCCCTCAAGGAGGGAGAGCTTAATTGCCCACTTACACGGGCGCTAAGCTTAGGGACTGTTCCAGAATACAGTATATGGAAGGGGAAGAAAGAGTATCTTCACAGGGCAGACACCTGACAAGCAGGACCTCAACCATGTGACCAAGGTCAACATCACCCAGGACAAGGCACACTGACAATAACGGCCCCTGAAACGATGTCATGACAGGGGACCTTCACCCCTGTGCTCTTTGGCCCCCATGCCCACCATCCTGTTCAAGCAGGAGAAAATCCCTAGACAGGTCCAGATTGGGGGATATCCTACAAAACACCTGACTCGTCCTCCTCAAAACTACCAAGGTCAACAAAAACATGGAAAGTAAGGAGTGCTCGCAGACCACAGAGGGCGAAGGCTACGAGAAGAATGCAGTATGGGATCCTGGAATGGCAACTGGATGTCAGGAGAAAAGTAGAACACTGAATCAAGTCTGGAGCTTAGTTAACAGTAATGTGCCTGCTGGTTCCTGAGTTGTGACAAATGTACCACAGTCATGTGAGATGTTATCAACAGGGGAATTAGGGGGGGGCACACAGAGACCTCGAGGTACCTCTGCAACTTTTTGGTAAAGCTAAAACTATTCTAAAGCAAACCACCACAATGACCAGGACATGGAATCTGGAAACAGGAAACCAACCTGAAGGGTCTCCAGGCCAGATCTGGGACAACTTAAGCAACAAAATTATGAATGTGTGCATTCTGCAACTTTCAGATAGAGTTACACAAATAAATTAATACATGGAGAAGCACAGTTCTTCCTTAGAGTGGATCTCTCACACCTGTGGGAGGAGTGATGGAAAGAAAGCCACCACTGGCCCTTCCCAGAGGGGAAGGGGTCTCAAGCCAGACCCATCTGATGGACGTGGAAATCTCTGGGGAAAATATGATTGCGAAATGGGACCTTTCTGTGGTCTCCACGTGCCTCGCCATCAGGAACTTATGAATTACAAAGGAAAACTCCTAAGATTACGTGGGGAAACTGGCAGGCATCACCTAATGGAGACCAGTTGTCTTTATAACTGTCCTGGAGTTAGGAAAGATTTGGGAAGCTGATAAAAAGGAATACAGAAAATCTTTATTCTATTTTTGCAACTGTTTATGATAATTTCAATTGTTAGAAATAATTTCAAAATGAAAAATTACAAACAAAACACCTACGCTGTAGGACAGCATGCTGGAGTGAACTATGCCGGTGGAGGTGAAGTCAAATGTCGCACTTCGGGACAGGGGCACAGGAACTAAAAAGGGGGACTCCAGTCACTGGTGGGCTGGGAGACAGTGCATGTGCAGCAGAAAGCTGAGAAGTTGGGTCTGGCTATGAGGGAGGAGGTGGCAAGGCCATCTGTCCTCAGGCTGGGACTTCTGTCGCACTGTGCAAATAGTTCTCTCTCCATATGGATCTGTTCCTAGCAGGGCAGCCAAATTTACAGGACCACGAGGAAGGGAAGGCAGCAGGAAGAAATAAACTTCTCCAAGTAAATTCTGGGAGAGTTCTGGGACCCTCCAGTGTGGCTGTATGGCCTCTGGCAGCCTGGCTGTCTTAAAAGCAGGAGGCTGTCTTATTTCCTATGGAATCAGGGTATGAGCACTCAGCTTCCTGTTCTCCCCCCGGACAGCTGATTTGAGGATGAAGTGGTTGCTGATGAGTGCTGGCCGAAGGGGGGTTGGTGCGTCTCTCCAGGGCCAAGCCAAGTGCAGACTACAGAGGCCTGGCCACATCAGGGTAGACCACACCCCAGGCCTGTGATTGGTTTCATGAATGACATGAAACCTGAGAAAGGTCCAGGAAAGCCAGCTCCAGGACTTCTAGAAAAACTGTGGGGCAGGTGAACCATATTGTGGCAGTACTGAGCTAGGAAGAGGGATGCCCAGGGTGGCTGGTCAATCTTGGCCCCCTGAGGGCTGCCTGCCGGAAGGAGGTGGCCAGCGGCGCCACGAGGTGGTGAGTGAGAACCTCTTTGAGACTCGGTTGGAGGACCCAGATCCTATCACACTAAGCATCGGGGTTGCCATGGACCAGAGGGCTCAGTGCCCTAGGGAGGAACAGTTAAGGATATTTCCTCAAATGGCTCTGCTCCACTCTGCTCCACTCCGCTAGCAGGAGCTTGTCAGGCTTCTGCAACACCTTGTGTGGAGTGTGCTAGTTGGGGGATTTGAAGGGGACCTCGAGGTCATCTTGTGAGAGCTGCCCCAACAGGGATGATGGGTGGGCACTCCCTCACCCACCCTTCTCCGATCTCGCCCCTTGAAACCAGAGGCAGGATGCCGGGGGCTGAGTTGTGTCCCCTCAGAATGGGACTGTATTTGGAGATGGGGTCTTTAAAGAGCTAATGAGGTGAACCCAAGCAACAGGGCCTTCCCGCTGGACACTCCAAGACCCCCCAAGGGTGACAGCACTTACGAGAGAGGTACTATGATGAGAAAGGGTCCGTTGATCCGCTTGTGCTCCATGAGGTACGTGATGAGAGCGATCGTCTGGATGGTCTTCCCCAGGCCCATCTCGTCCGCCAGGATGCCATTCAGGTTGTTGTTGTACAGGGACACCAGCCACTCCAAGCCTTTGATCTGCAAGGAGAGAGGCAAGCGGCCAGGACTGAAGCCCAAGTCGGTACGAGAGCATTCCCCGCACTGGAGACTCAGCACAGCCAGGCCCGCGGTCGGCCTAGCCATGAACCACCCGTGGCCATCTCGAGTTCTGGTATTTTGCTTTCAGTCAGCCCACTCCTTGGTTTCTTGGCCTCATCCTCAGCCATCACTCCTACAAAATCACAGCGCTGCCGTGCTGGTGCTAGGTCTATAAAACCTCTTTTTCTGGTACATATTCAAATAGCTAAGTTTCTACCTGGAAAGGCCACCAGGAAGCAGGGCTGCTGACATTTAACTCCCTGGCCTCACTGCCACACACAATGCGGTGGCCACACACGGCAGGGCTCCGGGGACCACGCACCTAGCACCTCTGCGCCCAGGCTGGGCCCCATCCTGGCTTGGCCACTCCTGAGTTGTGTGATTTTGAGGAATCGCTGCACCTCCCTGTTCCTCATTGTACCCCCCCCCCATCGAACGCAGAGATGGAAGCACCTACTAAATAGGGTCGTTGAGGGATGAGAAGCCAATGAGTAGAAGCCTCCTATTTGGCCTGGCATACATTAACTGCACAATTTTCATCTCCTCCTGGAGGCAAAGGTAACAGATTGGGCCCCTGCTTTCCAGATGGGGAGACGGAGGTTCAGAGGGGAAGAACGAGTGTCCAAAAGAGCAAGATTGGAATGTGACTTGAGTAGCCACCCACCACCGGGAAACCTCGAGACTGCCGTGTGGATGTGCCCCTCCAACCTTACCTGGTACTGTTTGAGGACACCATTGACCATAAGTGCTGACTGCTTATCCACTCTCTCAGTGACAGCATGGGCCACGGCATAATAGGACTGCAGGCCCCGAGCAAGGGCCTGGGACACGCCGTACTCGTCATCCACGTCTTGCTTGGCATTCCTGGGAGATGGAAGCACCGTGTGAGGACACCCATTCCTATCTGTGACAACATGCTTCTGACACAAGCCTCTGCCGAGTGGCCCTTTCTGCCCAATGATCCGTGGCTTGAGCCATAAAATGAGCCCAGTGCAGCCAGAGTCTGAGGGTGAGCCAGCCACGACTACTAATCCACGACTGCATGTGTGGGTCCCAAACCCACCCTCCCACAACAGGAATCAGGTCACTGCCACATCATAAGAAGAGTGTTTCTTTCCGCCAGAGACTGGTCCCATAGCCCGCCCTCTCTACTGGGCACTCATGAGCCTAAAGGGAAAATACACATGACACAGCCTCACGCAAAACCAGAATCGTTTATGTTGTGGCTGTTTCATGAGCCAATCTGGAATTATTTTTAAAAGTGACTTTAAACTATCTACGTTTTGGGGCCGCCTGGGTGGCTCAGTTGGTTAGGTGTCTGCCTTTGGCTCGGGTCATGATCCCGGGGTCCTGGGATCGAGCCCTAAGTCAGGCTCCCCTGCTCAGCGGGGATCCTGCTTCTCCCTCTCCACGCTCATGCTTCCACTCTCATTCTCTCTCTCTCTCTAATAAATAACATTTTAAAAATTAAAAAAAGAAACTATCTTCATTTTATTAATGTGACATACACGTGATCCAATTTCTGTCATATTGTTTCATGCTGTGCTGTGGATTCTGTCTTTATGTCTTCTTAGGAATCCTTCAGTGAGTTTAGTGGGGTTTTCCCTGTTTCTCTGATGATTTCAAAGGACTGCCTGCTTGCTTAGGGCTGCTTTCATACCTATAGCGTATACAACTCTCAATCCTCTATTTCTTTTAAAGAGTATCAACTACCTTCATACCATAAGCAACGATGATTAGTATGTTAGTTGTACCTGTGCTTACAAGAGCAAAAGATGAGAAATAATGTGAATGCCCGCCACTAGGGACAGGCTCATACAGGACAGCGTAAGGTACAATACCACGTGCTCGACAATGCGTGGAGAAAGCATCACCTCGAGGTGCCTGGGTGGCTCAGGCGGTTAAGTGTCTGCCTTTGGCTCAGGTTGTGATCCCAGGGTCCTGGGACAGAGCCCCACATCAGGCTCCCTGCTTAGTGGGAAGCCTGCTTTTCCCTCTCCTCCTGCCTGCCACACACCCCCCCCTCCCCCCGGTTTGTGCTCTTTCTCTCTGTCAAATAAATAAATAAAATCTTTAAAAAAAAAAAAAAGAAAGAAAGAAAGAAAGAAAGCATCACCTCTGAGAGAAAACTTCCAGTGAAAAAAGCCAGGGGCAGGAAAGTGTGCCTGGATACACGTGTACAAGTGAAAAAAAATAATTATATACACGTTTTGTTTGTTGAAACATGAAATACTCTGAAGACACACGACGCTGGAAGTACTTCCTTCCAGGGGAGGGACTGGAGTCGGGGGCTGAAGAACAAGAGTGAGGAGGCTTTTGCTCTACACCCAACTCTCTCTCAAGCACAAGATGAACCATGTGAATGGATGGAATATTCAAAGCCTATGAAAACCAATGAAATGTGAAGGTAATCAATCTGTCCCGTCTGCAGTCCCACAATGTCTGCCGGTGGGACAGGGGTGCATGCTGTCCAGAGAGAGGCTGGGATCCCAACAGTCCTGCTGGTGCCACCCTGAAGGAAGCTGGCAGAGCAGGAGGCCGCGGAGGGACGCCTTACTCAATGATGTGCCGGGCGTCCACTTCCGAGACGTCATCACTGTCTGGATCTGGAATCTTCTTCTTCTCCTCAACGGGCAGGTTGGGAGGCTGTGCCGGCTGTGGCTGCTCCTCCTCCTCCTCCTACCGAGACACAAGCCCACGTGACCCCAGGCCCCCCACAGGCACAGGCACAGGGCTCCCAGGTGGAGGGCACACTTCGGGAGGCAAGTGCTGTTTTCATGGCCTCTTACTCTGCCGGAATGTGTCATGCCTCTTCTCTGCTGCTTCTCTTAATTGCTCCATTTATGACTTTTAGTTTTCCTAAGCACGGAGCACTGACACTGTCTCAGGATATTGTCTTCTTTTTACTAGTAGTAGATGCCTCATGCACCATGCCTCCCTCCATCACAGAATGCATACTACCATGCTTATTCCTTGCCCAACCAACTCAAAGCAGTTTTTCATTTGATTCTCTTAAATTTTTAAGTATTAAACATGTTATAGCCAATTTTCGGTATTTGTTGCTCTTGATTTACTTCTGGCTTTACCAAAAAGGCTAAAATGGCTACACTATGTCAAATAACACCAGTGAGAACAGCCATCCTAGTTTACTGCAAGGTTTTCTATCAACTTGTAAATTAGATTTAAGTGTTGTTCTTCATTAAAGGGATTTTTCAGCCTTTACTGAGACGATAAAGGGATTTTGTGGGACATATTGCTGAAACACACACAAATGCATTTCTCAATGTTAAACCATTCTTGTATTCTTGGGTAAATCACACAAAGTGCCAATAGGTTATCTTTATATATAATGGGATTGCTATTAAACTAAAAGGTATCTGTAATTAATCTACTAAATGATTCCAATCAAAACCCCGTGGGATGTCCCTTGGAGCATGCAAAATGATTTTATAAGCGATTTGGAATAATGAACAGATGATAACAGCACAAACATTTTGGGCAAAAAGAAATCGTATTTGGTACAGACTTATCCTTGCTGATATCCCCATGTCTGGAATTAAAATGGGTAGGACTTCTAAGTCTGAGTGAGGAAGTTCACAAACTCACGAAAAATACGTCTTTTTGAAGCTAGACAAAATTCGCAAAAGCAACCATCTGAGAGCTCTAGGAGCCTGAGAACTGTTAATGCTTGAAAAACTGCTGAACCTTGGGTAAGAAGAGTGGGAGATGGTAGCGTTCTTACTTGGGGCAACTTCCATCTCTCTTTACCCCCAGCTCCACCTTGAAGGTTCTGCCAGGACGGCCAGGCCAAGAGCACTGGCAGCTGAGGCTGATGGGGACTAAGTCACTCTGTAGCAGGGGGCAAGGCCCATACCATCCAGTGGCACTGTTGTTATGTAAGTGAGGTTCTCAGTTTTGCTTTGGTTGGGAAAGCAAATTACTGCCTAAGCCTGTGACCATGTACAGAGAAAAATGAAGAAGGGCCTCACAGGAAGTAAAAGCCAAGGCGGACCTGAAAATGGCCTGAACTTCAGAATGTGTTCCTTTATACACACTGATCCACCAGAGACAGAAGCTTTATTGGCTCAAGATGTCTGAGCACAATCACTGCCCAATCACTGGATGACTACTAAGTTACAAAGAAACATGTAACTACTAAGTTACAAAAAAAGTTACTAAGTTACAAAGAAATCCTAGACAGCCTGGATTAAAAATAAAAACAAGAATAAAACCAAAAACTAAACTGAGCAGAGACACCAAAGGTAGCACACAGCCCTGGGGAAAGAACTCCACAGACTGAGCCCAAGTACATTACTTACACAAACACGACCACCCAGGAGTGGGAGTCAGAATCCAGCGTAGTTAAAAACAGGCTTCCACTAAACATTACAAAATGAGCAAAAAGGGAAAGTGTGATGTGTATTTAGGGAAAAAGCAAATGAATCCTCTCTGTTCCCAGATGTTGAACTTAGCAAATAATCTTTGAAGCAACTATTATTATAAGTATTTCAAAGAACCAAAGGAAACTATCTTTAAGCACAATAAATCAACAAATACAGAATCTCGATAGAAGGCAGCAATGATAAACTTCCCAAATTTGATGAAAAGCAAGAAACTACCCAGCCAAGAAGCTGAACAAACACTAAGGAGAATAAATACAGAGAGTTCACAATCTGCTAAAAAAAAGCCAAAGCCAACAAAAGCCAGAAAGCAAGAAAGAGAAAAATGAATCATCAACTACAGAAAATCATCAATACAATTAGTGGCTAAATTCTCATTTGAGATGGAGACCATAAAGTAGTGGAATAACACATTCACAAGGAAAAAGGCTGTCACCAAAGAAATCTGTGTCCAACTAAACTATTCTTCCAAAGTCAAAGCTACAGAAATACAATCGCAGATTTACCAAGGCTGAGAGAATTTGTTGCTAACAGATAGTAACTCAAACGCTAATAGCATTAAAAATGGCAACTACATGGATCAATATAAAAGACTCTATAAATTCATTTTCCCTTACTTGTCCTCTACTGACTTACTTAGACCAAACTGTAAGATGACATGAGGTATGAATCAGAAGACCGCTTTGTAGGGTTTATAGCATATATAGGTACAATATCCGGATGTGTGTATATATTTGTAACATATGTGTATGTATATATACAACACAAAGGAAAGGTAGCAAATAGATCTAGAGTAAAGCATAATTTCTATATTTTCCCAGAATGGAGTTAATATTAATCTGAAGTATACTGTGATAAATTAAAATGCATATTGTAATCCTCAGAGCAACTACAAAGCAAACAACTAAAAAGGTACAGTAACAAAACTTACAGAATAAAGTGGTACAGTAAAAAATACTTAACATGAAAGCAGTAAAAAAGGAACAGAGGAAGAAAAAAAGACATGAGACAAAAGAAATAGTCAAATGGCAAATATAAACAAAGTCATATGGATAATTACATTAAATATGAACAGTCTAAAATGCAATCAAAAGGCAGGCACTGTCATACTAGATGTATTTTTTTTTTCTTTTAAGATTTTATTTTATTTATTTGAGAGGGAGAAAGACAGTGAGAGAGAGAACACAAGAGGGGGTAGGGTCAGAGGGAGAAGCAGACTCCCTGCAGAGCAGGGAGCCCGATGCGGGACTCAATCCCGGCAGTCTGGGATCATGACCTGAGCCAAAGGCAGTCGCTAGCCAACTGAGCCACCCAGGTGCCCTGTCATAGTAGATTTAAAAAGCAAGATCTAGCTATCTGCTCTTTCAGATTCAAATGAACAAATAGGTTTGAAGTAAAAGAATGGAAAAATATATACAATGCAAAGAAACCGTAGTTTTAAGAAAGCTGGAGGGACTACATGAACACTGGACAAAACAGACTTTAAAACAAAAATTACGGGACGCCTGGGTGGCTCAGTCATTAGGCGTCTGCCTTCGGCTCAGGTCATGATCCCAGGGTCCTGGAATCGAGCCCTGCATCGGGCTCCCTGCTCGGCAGGGAGCCTGCTTCTCCCTCCCCCACTCCCCCTGCTTGTGTTTCCTCTCTGTCTCTGTCTCTCTCTCTGTCAAATAAATAAATAAAATCTTTAAAAAAATAAATAAATAAAACAAAAATTACTAGGGGCGCCTGGGTGGCTCAGTTAAGCATCTGCCTTCGGCTCAGGTCATGATCTCAGGGTCCTGGGTTCAATTCCTGCATCAGGCTCCTGCTCAGCCGGAGTCTGCTTCTCCCTCTCCCTCTGTCTCTCCCCAGCTCATTCTCTCTCTCTCATAAATAAATAAAATCTTAAAAAAAAAAATTACTAGAGGGGTGCCTGGGTGGCTCAGTCGGTTAAGCGAGTCCGCCTTCAGCTCAGGTCATGATCCTGGGGTCCTGGGATCGAGCCCTGCATTGGGCTCCCTGCTCAGCAGGAAGCCTGCTTCTCCCTCTGCCTGCCGCTCTGCCTGCTTGTGCTATCTCTCTGTCAAATAAATAAATAAAATCTTTAAAAAAAATTATTAGCAACAAAGACATATTTAATAATGATAAAATATCAAATACATCAGGAAAATATAACAACTAAAATATATGTATCAACAGAACATTAAAATACATGAAGCAAAATCTGACAGAATTTAAAGGAAAAATAGACAATTCAACAAAAATAGTGGATTTTACTACTTCCTTCTCAACAGAACTAAACAAAATCAGAAAGGATACACATGACCTGAACAACACTATCCACCAACTCAACTATTATATACAGAACACTACACTCAAAGAATGCAGAACATGTGAACATGAAACATTCCCCAGGATCCTGAGCCAGAAAAATGAGTCTCGATGAATTAAAAAGAATGAAAATCATACAAAGTAATCTCATACCATGAGAAAATTAAATTAGACGTAATAACCAAAAACAAAAAAATCTAGGGAATTCTCAAATGCTTAAAATTTAACAAACTTTATTTTTTTTTTTAAGATTTTATTTATTTATTTGACAGAGACACAGCGAGAGAGGGAACACAAGCAGGGGGAGTGGGAGAGGGAGAAGCAGGCTTC